GAGAGAGAGAGAGAGAGAGAGAGAGAGAGAGAGAGAGAGAGAGAGAGAGAGAAAACCACAACAGCCTGAAACCTTCACATATTAAATGCTATTTTCAGCATTGTAGTGACATTATCATTATCTTAGGAACCAGCTAACAAAGCAAGGAGGTTTTTATTTTTATTTTTTTTAAAGTACTTTCTTACTATATGCTTTTTCTTAAATGGAATCCAATTCTACCCCAAATTCTACAATATCATAAGCAGAGATATTTGAGCAATAATTTCAGGACATTCATTCATTGCTAATTCACTAGGAATAAATGAATTGGGTATATGGACCCAAGTATCCTTTTGCCAACTCCCACAGGTTCTACACAAAGAAGAATCTTGCCATTCTTTGGATACATATTTAGGTCTTTTTGTGCATCTTAATGAGAAGATCATGTGTATGAGATAGTATTTTAGGTAAGTTAGTCTTTAAGTTCTTTAACCAAAGGACTGAAGAATGGGAGAACTAATGCTTTATGTGTAGAGGGATCTCTAATGATCTTTCTAGACAGGACTTCCCTCTTTATAACTGGTAGAGCTTTTTATATATAAAAAGATTTACTCATCTAGTAATGATTCTGCCTTATTAATATATTGGAAATATGAGAATTACAAGCTGTAAGGCAAAATATGAAATATTATATGATGAAAAGAGTATGGTTTTACAGTTAATAATTCACCATGCTGTCCACATAGGTAATCTCATAAGAAATCAGAAGGCCAACTAGAAGATAGAAAGGTGTAAATAAAATGGGAGAAAAGAAAATCTGACTTAAAAGCAGCAGCAACAACAAATGGATGGTTATTAAACACTTTAAAGAGTAACAGCACATAATGCTTCTTTGTCCTTGGGCTGGAAACCTTTTATTTTTCATGTGGATTTTTAGGCGGAAGAGATAAGTAAATCCCACAGTGGTGCCACAGAATAAAACATGTACCTTTGTCCTAAGTCTCCTGGTTGCCTATGTACTTCATTCTACATTCAGACTTTCATGCATATGAAGCCTCTTTTGCCATTTCCATTATTTTTCAGAATTTTCCAGTTTCTAAGCTGCATAGACCATGCTTAATTATTTTGCATAAACTACTTACTGCACTGAATGAAATGTATTTGGTTTAGTGGGGTGGGCTTCCCTCACTCCACAATTTGGTTTAGCATTTGAGTCCCAAATATCACTCAGTAAAAAGTAGAAAATGTTACTAGTTCCTCCCTCAGATACTCATACCGGAGGCATCTTAGGGTTCTCCATGCAATTTGATTAATTTTTTTTTAAGTTTCTCTGATAATTTTTTTTTAAGTTTCACTACTTAGACTGAATAGATTTCAATTTTGGGATATTCCCTTTGAATGCATTTAGACCTAAAGTATTTGTCATCTAACAATTGACTTTATGTATTATTACTCTATGTGTGTGTGTGCGCGTGCGCATGCAGGATTGAACCAAGGAGTGCGTTATTACTTTCATTTCTCAGTTCTTTTTTATTTTTTATTTTGAGACAAGGTTTCACCAAGTTTCTGAGGCTCTTGCTAAATTGCTGAGGCTGATCTTGAACTCATGATTCTCCTGCCTCCCAGGTTGCTTGGATTTCCCTTTTAAAAATTACATATAATTAGCATCCACTAGTCCAGTGGTTCTTGACCAGGGGTGTTTTGCTAGCCAGAGGACTTGTGACAATGTCTAGAGACATTTTTGGTTGGCTCTATGGTGACAATACTGCTATTGACACCCTGTGGTAGAGGTCAGGGTTGCTACTGAATACCCTACAGTACACAGGACCGCTGCCCACCAAGGAAGAATCCCCCAGCCCCAATGTCAATGGTGCTGAAGTTGAGAAACACTATTTCAGTAATCTATGCAGATTACTCCTTCTTCCAGCTGAGTAAGTGAATACTCTTGATTTTTCCAAACCATGAGGAAGTTCTTATCTACATGGAAGGTTTGTGCATGAATAGAAAAAAGAATTTGAGGCTGCAGATTTAACAGAGTTTGCGCACACTGGTCCTAACCTATGCTGCTGGAAATGCAGAAAGGGAAAGCATTTTGTTCATGGTTAAGGCTTCCACTTGGCTTGACATCTGTTTTGTCTAACATAAAGAATAAGCCGTTTAAGGAGGCTGCTAGAGTGTTTATCCTTCCAGATACTCCACTAGGGTGCTAGAGAAAGAACTAGCTTCATTTGTAATAATGAAATGCATTTCCCCTAACCATTTCATTTTTTACATAATTAATTATAACTGCTCATTGTTAGCACTCTAGAGCCTCATTAATATCAGCATAATTACTCTCTTGGTATCAATTAACATTTCTGATGTTTGTCAAAAAGCACTTCAATTTTAAGATGTCCATGCTGAAGTGAAGGTATATAGCCACTATCATTGGTGCGACTTAGAGCATGTTCCTTTAAAAAAGGGCAATCCATCATGCATCTCATTAGGGAGCAATTTGCTGCATTTGAGATCCCTCACTAAATTACCCTGCAGAGGCAAAGTATTCCTCAGAGAAAGGGCCTTGGGAGCAATCCAGATATATAGTATATACCCAGCATGTTCCATTACCTTTGCAATTTGCCATCCTGTAGCTATCATCATGACTAAGGTGTCCCTCAAATATTTCACTACTATCTAGCTTGGCACAATCCTGTTTTTCTGCATGTTGGAAGCAGACACGTACCAGCTTGCACCACTCCAAATCCAGGGGGACAGCTCCTGTGCTTCAAGCAGAACTCTACTTCGAGGTAGCGCCCTTCCTCACACTCGCACACACGGTTGTGGGTGCGATTGCACTCCTGTTTGACATACTGCAGCTCCTTGCACACTGAGCTGCAGTACAGACACTCGTCACTGGTGTGCCAGCTGTCTGTGTAGTAGTGGTCAGGGCAAGGGGTGCACACGGTCTTCCGCCTCGCAGTACAGTGTTGCTTTAGGTAGGTGCCAGGAGGACATTTGTCACACATGAGCTGGTGAGAGGTTTCTGGATCATAATGAAGGTACTTTGGAGGAAAAGTTTCCTGGGTGGTCCATTTAATAGAGATGTCCAGGAACTAGAAGGAGAAAGAGACATAGTGGCAATTTAGCATGGAAATAAGGTTGTTCTATGCAAAGGCAGCATTAGACTCAAAAAGTCCCTTAGTACTTAAGCTTAAGGCCCTTCTTGTCTCTTGAGATGGCCACAAAGTAAGTTTAGAAGCCATAATTTTTGCTTTCAGTGGCTGAAACTCAAAGACCATGAATGTGGATAGCAATAAATATAGTAAATAAATCCAGGCTCATAGATGACTGAAACAGAAAGTTTATCAGAACACAACTTACACTTTGATAACTTGCTATACAACCATGTGACTTGAAAAAACCTGGGATTCAGGATTTTCTCTAGATTAGTGAGTGGATGAACTGGTGGCTCCCAGAATAGCTGAAATCAAATCACCTAGACTCCTTACTAAAAATGTAGGCTCCTGGGATTCAAAGCCTTAAGCCCTTAGCCTTCATCAGTGTGGAGCTGAGCCAGGGGAGCAAAAAAAAAAAAAAAAAAAAAAGAAAGAAAGAAAAGAAAAACTCCCAACAACTTCTAGAGTGATTCTAATGCACAGAGAACATGCTAATAATTATTCTTTCATTTATTGATTGGACAACTAGTTATTGAGTCCTCAATATGTTCCAAACTCTGTTTCTGACTACCTAGAATACAATCCTGACTAAAATAGGCAAGAAGTTCTGCCCTTGAGACATTTACTATCCAAATGGAGGATTAAGAAAATACACTGTAGATAAATAATGTATTAATAGAAGTATTGTAACAAAAAGAAAAGATCAGGTAAAGGAGACAGGAAACCGGGAGGGTAAGGTGGGAAGATCATAATTTCTAAGTGGGGTGGTCACAATAGTCATATTTAAGACTAGATGATATCTCTTTGAGTTTTCCTATTATAAGACTTTATGATGAGCAACAAAGTCAAGAGTCAGTGTTGTGTGAAGATAAAGGATCACACCCACAGTCCTCATTCATTCAATGATGATCCACTAGGAGTCAAGCACCAGGAATATGCTGGTGAGTCCAATATGACTATTGTTTCCATAAGCTCACCTTCCACTGGAATTTTGAGGTTGACATTTTCTCCAAAGGTCATTTGGGTCAACACTCATGAATCTCATGGGTGAGTGATATCTACAAAATAAAATTCACTCCCTCTCCTCAAGTTAATTGGGAAAACTTCCAAGGAGCAGGCAAGGTTTCAGAAGTTGCCACACATAATGGCAGGAAGGAGTCTTCATCAGGAAAAAAAGTGTTTCACCAGCTTCACGTGGGCATCTATCTTTGTTATTCTACATCTTCAATGCTTCAAGGGAGCATTGGAGAAATTCTTCACACTAATTTCAGGAAATACACACTGAGAAGAAGCAGTGTTGTTTGGGGGGGGGGGTGGCTTATTTGGTTTCTATTGTTTGTTTTTGGTGCAGGAATCAACACTGACTATTTTCAGACTCTTGGGAGGTGGCAAACCAAACACAATAATTTTTTCCAAACTCACTTCTTTGCAGAGCTCAGGAAATGTCACAGAAACCCCCTGAACTGGAAAAAGCATTCCAAGCTAAAGAAACAGCAATCAGTTTTGAATTAGAGGTAGTACAGGTAAAGAATGTCCTTTTTCATAAACATTTAGGTATTTTAATGTAAGTAATTTCATTCATTTCATACTGGAACATGGCAGGTGTCTGGGCTGCTTGGACCTAGTAGGAGCTGACAAACCAGAAGAAAATAACAAAACATCACACTCAGGGCCATAGATCTTCTAGCAAGGAGCAATTTTCAAAGAGTGATTTGATGTAAGGGAGTCCCAACTAACAACAACAACAACGAAGCAGAATATAGTGAGAACTCAGGGCTCCTTCAGCAGTCTTTGCAAGACAGCCTCTTGACCTGGGAGTTTCTGGGGACAGCTTGTTCTTGAATTTCCCTGGGGGCTTTTTGTTATCTTGAAGGAAAGAAAGCAAGATGAAATGACAGACTTTCTGGTTGGTCATTTGAATGTATTACAAGGCATCTTTTAAGGCCCTATGCATGGATTTAGTTCAAATAGTTCTAGAATACTCAATGCAATCAAATGAGGTTTTCCTTACACAACTTGTAAATACATATGAAAGCAGTAAGAAAGAAAAATCCTCTTGCTGTTTATTTTAAATTTCCTGGAAAGCCACTTTTGGAGTTCTGTCTGCTTTCAAGAGGCGTGACTCAGAGACCCAGAGAGACCCTTTATCTCAAGGGCTACAGTTAAGTGAGCCACATCCTGGTGTATTGCAACCCCAAGATTTTCCCCAGCCTGACTTCTCATTGTTGCGCTGTTCCCATTACAACATGGCCTGTGTTTCCATCTGATCATCAGTATTGACTCTCCCTTACTTAAAAGTGATGGGGATGGGATGAGAAATCCCAACCAATGATGTTTATGTTCCCAATCTGGAAGTCCAAAATCTGAAATGCTCCAAAATTCCAATCTTTCTAAGCATCATATTGGTGCTCAAAAAAACTTCAGATTTGAAATTTTAAATTAGGTATTCTCATCAGGTAAAGTCTATGCAAATATTCCCAAACTTAAAAAAAAAAATCTAAAATCTAAAATACTTCTTGTTTCTAGCTTCTCAGATTAGGGTAACTCAACCTTTGTGACTAAGAATGCTAATAAAATGTATATTTTTCTAAGTAATTGGACATGACATTGTTGGTTTCCTGAAACCATGCTTTGGAAATTAGTAGCCATTTCTTTCGCATACAGGGAAGTTGGGAAGAAAGAAATGCTCAGAGAAGAATAAATAAAGAAGCTTGACTTAAGGATTAGAGAGTAAGCAGCGAAGGCATTTCTCCAAGGCAACCATATGGACACATCATCTACATTTTTAAAAATTAGAAAGTCTTGAGGAATTACAGGCTTGTTTTCAGGGAGTTCAATAGGATCTCTGTGTTTTATTTGAAAAATTTCCACTTTGGTAAAAAGACAGAACTCTGTGTGGCCAGAATTGGATGTTTAGGTCTCAATCTTCGGTTAGCCCCAATTCCCACACAGAATTTCTGGAACTGGTTACTGGACAGAGGATGGGCAAGATTAATAGAGCTCTTTGTCTCAGTCCTTTCTGTCACTTTCTTCTGAGTTTCCTGAAAACTCAAGGAAAATGAAGATATAGAACAGACCACCATATCACTGGCTAGAGCTCCTTTTGCCAGCTGATATTTAAAACCTAATAAGAGTTTTAAAATGAATTTTTATGCAATGCAGTCTCCAAATGACCACTGATGAACACCCATAACAGCATGTACAAGGGTGTCTTCAAAAGCATAAAGTGCTTTCTATAGAAGAGCCCCTTCTTTCTTGTGTTTTGCCCTTGATTTATAAAGAATAAAGTAGAATTTTCTGGTTTTTTTTTTCTTTTATCCTCCTCCCTTACCCTGTCTATTCATTCTTTAGTATAAACCACTCATTCTTGAAGAAAATTTGAAAGTCCTCCAATATTCTACTTTATGTATCTATCTATCCATATATTTATTTATTTATGTGGTGCTGAGACTAGTCCCAGGACTTCTTTCCCAAGCTTCCACATCTCAAAGACAGTTTTGGCTGCCTCTCTGATAGCCTCATGCTCCCCCTCGTCTTCCATTTTTAATGTTGGGAACTGAAGAACTTTCTATTTCAAGCCTATCTGTCTTCCCTCATCCATCAAATTTTAGCAGATGACTGTAGAGAGTGAAGATTGTGGCTGGGCTGAATCAGTTGTTCTCTAAAGTCTTTGCTAGTTCTATCATGTTCTTGTTTTTGGTCTGGCAATTTAATTAGCCAATGAACTTGGGAGCAAATGCTTTAGTCTCATCGCCTTCATTCTTCTTCCTCCACTCTATTTACAAAACTCCTCTGTACAGATGAAGTATTTTTGCCACTATTCACTTTTCAGATTCACTCCTGCCTTCCCTGTCCTCTGTATAACCACCTGATGTCCCAGCCTGCTGGTAGGTATGCCTGCTCTCTAGCATGCATCTTGTGCTTGATCTTCCTGGAAGAGTCTCATGTTTAACAAAAGCCAGTTGTACATTTGTTGCTGATCTAGTGGGTGCTAGTTATAACTGCAATAAAGTAATTCAATTAAATATGTAAAGTATCAAACATTGATGAAAAAATAATTATATTTCTATGAAAAGTAAATTGAATGTTTTGGGATGAGTTGAACAATACTGCTCCCTCCCACAAACAATCAAACAAAAACCCTGCAAAAATAATAATAAAATCAACCCACCATAGAATTTAAAGTAAGCAACACAATTCTAGAAAAAACAATAAGGAAAGCATAAAGAAGTATTATATGCAATCAATTAGTTTTATGAGTATCTTCAAGTTTTAAACTGAATAGATGGGCCATACTCACAGAGAAGGGTTTTGTAGGTAATACAGCATAAGAGTCTAGTTAGCAAACAGAGACTCCAATAAAAGAGTTGGTCATATCTCAAAATACAGATGAATATTTATTTAAATCAAAATGAAATATTTCAGATATATGTTTATAATCTTTATTATTAAATGCTCTGACCTTACAATTGATGGTCCAACTATTGGTCCCAAATGCATATAAATTTCTGACAATAGTGCCTCATATTTAGTAAGTAGAGCAGTATGGTAATGGTATGTGTAAGCAGGAAAAAAAAAAAACTAAGTAAATAGTTTATTCATTAATTCATTAATATGAAGATGGAATTCCATTTTGTCTATTCCATTTAAACATACATGTTTTAAATCTACTCTGTGCAAGGCAATGGGCTAATAAGCAGCACATAAAATATTTTGGTTAGTACTCACTTTAGAATTCTTTTTACCATTATTATCACTAAGTCTCCACCAGCTACAAACACAAGTCTTAGGAAGGTTAATTAACATGTCCTAGGTCATAGTAATCACTGCCAGCCAAATTCAAACCCACAGCATATGCCTCATAAAACTATTTTGGTGGAGGGTCAAATTCCAACATTTAACTAATGCTTTCACTTATACTGTTGCCTTTACACATA